CACCATATAAGATAAAATAAGAATGTCAACAAAACTAATTACAAACTAACTATTTCATAAGAAAGTATCATAACAATGATTTTATTATGTTTCTAACACTTAGATGTTAAGAATATGCTGTATACTACAATACATTTAACATCATACGTACGAAAATATTTGGGTGCACTGGTGCACCCACATGAAAAATTGGGTGCACAGCTCCAAATTTGGGTGCACTAAGGTGCACATGCACCCAGTATTTCGAGCCCTGTCTTGCGACGACGACCCGTACATGATAGACAAAAACTGAGAAATGATAATTAACGTATACCAAAGATACCAGGAAGCCAATATATGTACAACAACCCACCAAATTTTATTCCACTGCAATTACATCGCAACATAGCCACTGAGAATATAATACAAATCACAGAAAATGGCAATTTACAGTCAACTACTCGAGTCGATGCGGCCACATTACATGAAAAAGAGCAAAGAGCTACATAGATACTCAAAAGCCAAAGCATGCACAACTACACAAGGAACATTAGTGCCATAGAACTTTATAACAAACTCGGTGTAAATGGCACATAACAATTTACAACTGGCTATGCTGGCCAGCATATACGGGCTACACTACATATATAACAATACTTAAGAGCCATGTACAGAATGAAATTATATACCGTTCAAACCTACATTCAAAGTCTAGATATTAAGTGTCGTTGCATCAACAATGAACAGTCACATATGCCTATTATACATTAAACGTATGAGTCGATTTGGCCGACCCCCATCTTCCGACCTCTGCATGGTTTTGTCCGTTTTTCTCTTGCAATGACTCTTAAATAGAACTGCTTACTCACTACAATTTGACACATACATTGAACTGTACATTTTTTTGTATGAGACAATTATTAATGTCTAACGACAAAAACATTTATGCATATATAAAGAATATATCATTCTGTACATCACGTTACGTTTTTAGTCTACAATGTGACACATTGAACTTTTCACTACAACTAGACTGAACCACGAAACACGAAATGTGTACTAGTATCTTCTAGGAATCGCTAAAGCGCTCTCTACAAGCATGAATATGTCTTTTACAAAATTATTCTGCTTTTCGTTTCTCACAAATTTCCAGAGTGCAAGGCTAGAGAACACTCCTAGGCATTTGACTAATTTCTGGCTACTGTAATTAGCATCTCTTCTCCCTTAGTCAAATACATAAATGTTATAGACATGCTCGACTAACTAAGAGTCAGAACTGACGGACCCAAATAGGATTTAGATCTAAGAATTCGTTTAAGCTGGTGTGTTACGCCGAAGGACGGTTATACCGGCTATACTGATACAGATATGCGGGAGTCTGCAACGGTATGGCTGCTTAAATATGTAATTTCAGATGCCCCCCGAGTATTACAACATTATGTTAAGGAAAGCCAACATTTGTAGTTCCAGGTTGCATGGATCATGACTGTGTTACAGTATTCTGTCTTACAGGTGTCAAGTAAATGATGATTGGTAAAAACAAGCCTACCTCTGCCCCTGTGGATCTGTGGATTGTCGATGATACACTGGCCATGCTCATAATCCCAAACTCTTCTTTGTCTAAACTGTTCATTTGTCCAATTTCAGATGGAAATGTATTTTCAACGTACGTCGAATGAACACAGTTGTCCTTTGGTACTTCTGTTCCTGTATTTGTCCACAACTATTCCACAGTCTAGTTTCGTTTCTTCGTTTCACGACAGTCCTTATCTCTTTTTTTACGGTTTGCCTTTGTTGCACTGGCCTGCATCTTCCTCCCATGCCAACTTCGGCCGCGAAGGTGGACGGTCCAAAGTCTAAGTGCGTCCCACGTTTGGCTCGTCGGTGTCCAACGTTAGTGTAGGGACGTCCTCTTCTTCGGCATCCGTGTTTACTTGCCCGGGGAGGTTTACCGTCGCGTCCTCCTGTCCGGGACATGGCGTTGGCTCGGCGTGCACCTCCGCCCTCACTGTTAGCCGGATCGGTCGCCCCGAAGCGGTCTCGCGGCCACGGTGTCCTGAACGGGGCGCTGGTGGTCCGGGGGTCGTGTCTGCCTGTGTTGCCTGCTTTTCTGCCTGGTCAGGGGGCATGTTCTCCGCCGTGGGCTGCACGATGAGGACCTCTGAAGAGGTTTGAGCGGGCGCCAGTGCCGAGGCCGGTGCCCCGCGCCGCCCGGGACGGGTGACGGCGGCCATCTCCGCGTCGTCCTGGCAATGCCGCCGTGTCGCTGCCGGCGGCGGCGGGTTGGCGTTGGTCGGCAATCCGCACAGCTCCCTGCAGGCTCGGCAGAACTCTGGCAGCCGGAAGCTGTAGATGACGGGGTTCGCCACGGACGATAGCGTCAGGACCAGGAGGACGGCCACGCGTTCAGCGATCATCAGGGCGGGTTGGGACATCTGTTCCTCTGTAATCACAGCTCGCCAAATTGCTACTCGGAAAACGACAGTGGCTGTGGAGGCAGTCAAGATGGTGGCATGCGGCACCATCACTTTAAATGCCTTGGTCTGGAACACCCACAGATCACGGTTCTCGTCCCTTTCCTGTTGCCTTCTGGCCTCCTTGAAGATACGCCAGTAGATCACTAGGACGGAGAGAACAACAAATAGTGTGAGAAGGATGGTCATGTTTCTGAAGATGGCAGATAAGGAAGTACTGTTCGCAGGCTCCCTTCCACAACGCTGGTTGTACTCTGGCAGTCCGCCGAAGGCCACAGGCGCTAGTCCGAAGAGAAGGGAGAAGGCCCTGGACGTCAAGATGCCCAGGACCACGCGTTTGGTCGTGACTTTGTCATGGTAGTGTAGGGGATGGCACACGAAATAGTACAGATCGACTGATATCATGAGGTATGTATAATACATAGACATCCCAAATACGGGCGCTACCACTGCTTCAGCCGAGCAGTACGCTTGTCCCCCGCTGGCGTCTTGCCGGAAAAGTGCGTAGATTTGGACGGGAATCAGGCAGCCGGTGAAGACGATGTCGTCTACCGCCAGGTTACACCGCAGGTAGTGGCTGGGCTTTTGCAGATACTCTTTCTTCCAAACCAGGAAGATGAGCAGCAGTCCGCATCCTACCGACAACACCAGGCTGATGATGAGATATGCCGTCTGCAAATCGCGAGATGTTGAGCCGATGGACAGAACGTGGTCCATGTCATCTTCTACCGGCGAACCGTCCGTGTCTTCTTCCATATTGTAACAATAGTAAAACTGCGAAGGAGGAAGCTGTGAAGGAGGAAGTTGTGAAGGAGGAAGCTGTGAAGGAGGAAGCTGTGAAGGAGGAAGCTGTGAAGGAGGAAGCTGTGAAGGAGGAAGCTGTGAAGGAGGATGAGACCAGAATAAGACTATCTACATGTACATCTACCTCCTGCAAATAAAGACTTGTTTGTTTGATGCAGTCACTGTGTCCGGTGGTTCAATCCGCATTATCGGCTTTGTATTCCTGTGGTTAAGCAGCATTTCTTTTTTGGCTGGATTTTTTTTTCGCCCTCTCGCATTAGTTTTGTGGTCTCCAAAGGACGTCATCCATAAAATTAACTTGGTGTGGCCTTACAGATATATTCACATGCTGATCAGGTTGTATGAACCAGAAGTAGCGATAATAAAGATGCCAATAGACGCAACGTTTAAGATTTTTAAAAAGCTTAGAAGGTTAAACCATCTAGGTGCAAGCCTGCATAGTGATATAGCAAATTTGTAAAAAAAATGTTTATGTCTTGCGACAAGGACCCGTATATAATAGACAAAAAATGAGAAGTGATAAACTAATGTATACCAAAGATATGTACAACAACCCACCAAATTTTATTCTACTGCAACTTCATCGCAACATAGCCACTGAGAATATAATACAAATTACAGAACATGCGTCAATTTGCAACTAACTACAGAAAATGGCAATTTGCAACTAGCTACTGGAGTCGATGCGTATATGGGCTACATTACACGAAAAAGAGCAAAGAGCTCCATAGCGATATGCGAAAGCCAAAACATGCACAACTACACATCAAACCTTACTGCCCTAGAACTTCGAAACATGGCAAACTCAGTATCAGTATAAATGGCACATAAGCTGGTGTGTTACGCCGAAGGGCGGTTATACCGGCTATACAGATACAGAAGCTGGTGTGTTACGCCGAAGGGCGGTTATACCGGCTATACTGATACAGATAACAATTTACAACTGGCTGCTGACCAGCGTATACGGGCTACATGACATGTATGGCCATGTACAGGATGAAATTATGGTAAAAGTTAGTGGCCTGATCTATGTAAAAAAAACTCACCTTTTAGCTTCCACTAGAGATAAAACTGTTCGCGACTGTCACCTGTGAAAAGCGGGTAACGGCTTCATTTAAGGTGTCCCGAGTATGCAAATAAATATATTAACATGTAACACATCTTAAAAGAAATTAGGAAATGTGGAAAGCTTTTCTTTTCTCCCATTGTCTTTTTTTGCCTTATCGCCTTAGATTTGGAGTCTGTGGTGGATGTCATCCATAAAATATACCTGCTGTGGCCTTATGAATATTCCGGTATTCTCATAAAGTATTCCGTATTTTCATGAATAGCCCCTCCCGCTGTAAGTAAGGCACTTACACCACTCTTGGAGTACAAAGAACGCGTTTCATGAAGGGAATGGCAATTAACAACCTTAGCTATCTTTAGCTGTGGCTATTTTGGGCACAGTTGGACGTATTTCGCTGCTACTACCAGTGGTCTTACGTATAGCCCTCACAATATATAACACTACCAGCAACATGCACCCGATTCAAGAGTCGCCACGGCTGTACCCAGGCTGCTCGTTGTATTTGTGACAGTTATCGTCAATTTTTTTTACCGGACTTATCCTCTGAGAGTAGAGACGGGTTCCGATCAGGTCCCCCTAACACTGAGAGCCGAGGTCCCGGAGTGTGGAACTTCGTAGTACATGTAACGTTATATTAATGTCCTTGGTATCCACAACACGGTGCTGTATCCCAAAACATGCTCAGGGACAATGTTGGATAGTCCTCGCGTATCCAGAACCGTACCTCAACTTAATCCTAATCCATGCATACATAAAACCAAATAGGCGCGGTTCTGAATCAAGGTGTGGGGGGGGGGGCGCTGTACATGTGCCGCAGCCGGTGTTGCAGGGCTCGAAATTAAAGGTGGTCCAATGGCCACTGACCCCTAAAATTTAGGCTGGGACAACTAAAAAGACACTTTGGGACATTTTTTGGGACAATTATAGTGCGCCTGGGAGTCAGAACTTAAGCAAAATAAAGTTGACTTCAAATTGAACTTCAAGTTATACAATACTTCCCGAAAAACAGGATGGGACAGTTCATCCTCACTTCCGGACATTTGAAATTTATTTTTGGGACAGTGCTGTAGTTAATTTCGAGGCCTGTGTTGTATAGCCAGTATAGCAAATGTATAGCCAGAAACACGCGACCAAAACACAAATATATTCACATGCTAATCAGGTTGTATGAACCAGAAGTAGTGATAAGAAATATGCCAATAGACGCAACGTTTAAGGTTTCAAACTGAGCAGGAACCATCTAGATGCAAGCCTGTATAGTGATATGCCAATTCGTAAAAAAAAAGTGTTTATGTTTTGCAGGGCTCAAAATGTATTTTTGAGAATAGCCTGCACTGGTGCACCCAACCTAAAAAATTGGGTGCACAGAAAATATTTTGGGTGCACCATATAAGATAAAATAAGAATGTCAACAAAAACTAATTACAAACTAACTATTTCATAAGAAAGTATCATAACAATGATTTTATTATGTTTCTAACACTTAGATGTTAAGAATATGCTGTATACTACAATACATTTAACATCATACGTACGAAAATATTTGGGTGCACTGGTGCACCCACATGAAAAATTGGGTGCACAGCTCCAAATTTGGGTGCACTAAGGTGCACATGCACCCAGTATTTCGAGCCCTGTCTTGCGACGACGATCCGTACATGATAGACAAAAACTGAGAAATGATAATTAACGTATACCAAAGATACTAGGAAGCCAATATATGTACAACAAGCAACCAAATTTTATTCCACTGCAACTACATCGCAACATAGCCACTGAGAATATAATACAAATTACAGAACATGCGTCAATTTGCAACTAACTACAGAAAATGGCAATTTGCAACTAGCTACTGGAGTCGATGCGTATATGGGCTACATTACACGAAAAAGAGCAAAGAGCTCCATAGCGATATGCAAAAGCCAAAACATGCCCTACTGCACATCAAACTTTACTGCCCTAGAACTTCGAAACATGGCAAACTCAGTATCAGTGTAAATGGCACATAAGCTGGTGTGTTACGCCGAAGGGCGGTTATACCGACTATACAGATACAGTAACAATTTACAACTGGCTGCTGACCAGCGTATACGGGCTACATGACATATAAAACAATACGTAAGACTACTAAGAGCCACAGACAGAATGAAATGATATACCGTTAAATCCTACCTTGGAACTCTAGATGTCTTTGAATCAACTATGAACAGTTACATATGCATATTATACATAAAAAGTATGAGCCGATTTGGTCGACCCCCATCTTCCGACCTCTGCCTAGTTTTGTCCGTTTTTCTCGTGCAATGACTCTTAAATATATATAGTTTAAATCTCTGGAACTACAATTTGACACATTGAACTGTACATTTTTTTGTATGAGACAATTATCAATGTCTAACGACAAGAACATTTATGCATATATAAAGAATATATCATTCTGTACATCACGTTACGTTTTTAGTCTACATTGTGACACATTGACTACAACCAGACTGAACCACGAAACACGAAATGTGCATCTTCTAGGAATCGCTAAAGCGCTCTCTGCAAGCATGAATATGTCTTTTACAAAATTATTCTGCTTTTCGTTTCTCACAAATTTTCTGAGTGCAAGGCTAGAGAACACTCCTAGGCATTTGACTAATTTCTGGCTACTGTAATTAGCATCTCTTCTCCCTTAGTCAAATACATAAATGTTATAGACATGCTCGACTAACTAAGAGTCAGAACTGACGGACCCAAATAGGATTTAGATCTAAGAATTCGTTTAAGCTGGTGTGTTACGCCGAAGGACGGTTATACCGGCTATACTGATACAGATATGCGGGGGTCTGCAACGGTATGGCTGCTTAAATATGTGATTTCAGATGCCCCCCGAGTATTACAACATTATGTTAAGGAAAGCCAACATTTGTAGTTCCAGGTTGCATGGATCATGACTGTGGAACAGTATTCTGTCTTACAGATGTCAAGTAAATGATGATTGGTAAAGACAAGCCTACCTCTGCCCCTGTGGATCTGTGGATTGTCGATGATACACTGGCCCTGCTCATAATCCCAAACTCTTCTTTGTCTAAACTGTTCATTTGTCCAATTTCAGATGCAAATGTATTTTCAACGTACGTCGAATGAACACAGTTGTCCTTTGGTACTTCTGCTCCTGTATTTGTCCACATCTATTCTACAGTCTAGTTTCGTTTCTACGTTTCACGACAATCCTTATTTCAGCGTCTCTTCTTTTACGGTTTGCCTTCGTTGCCCTGGCCTGCATTTTCCTCCCATGTCACCCTCGGCCGCGAAGGTGGACGGTCCAAAGTGCGTCCCACTTTTGGCTCGTCGGTGTCCAACGTTAGTGTAGGGACGTCCTCTTCTTCGGCATCCGTGTCTACTTGCCCGGGGAGGACTACCGTCGCGTCCTCATGTCCGGGACAGGGCCTCGGCTCGGCGTGCACCTCCGCCCGCACTGTCAGCCGGGTCGGTCTCCCCGAGGCGGTCTCGCGGCCACGGTGTCCTGCACGGGACGCTGGTGGTCCGGGGCTCGTGTCTGCCTGTGTTGTCTGCCTTTCTGCCTGGTCGGAAGGCATGTCCTCCGCCGTGGGCTGTATGGTCAGGCCCGCTGAAGAGGTTTGAGCGGGCGCCAATTCCGAAGCCGGTGCCCCGCGCCGCCTGGGACCGGTGATAGCGACCATCTCCGTGTCGTCCTGGCGATGCCGCCGTGTCGGTGCCGGCGGCGGCGGTGGGTTGGCGTTGGTCGGCCATCCGCACAGCTCCCTTAAGGCTCGGCGGAACTCTGGCAGCCGGAAGCTGTAGATGACGGGGTTCGCCACGGACGATAGAGACAGGACAAGTAGGATGGCCGTGCGTTCAGCGATCATCAGGCCGCGAAGGGACATCTGTTCCTCTGTGATCACAGCTCGCCAAATGGCTACTCGGAAAACAATAGTGGCTGTGGATGCAGTCAAGATCGTGGCATGCGGCACCATCACTTTGAATGCCTTGGTCTGGAACACCCACAGGTCACGGTTCTCGTCCCTTTCCTGTTGCCTTCTGGCCTCCTTGAAGATACGCCAGTAGATCACTAGGACGGAGAGAACAACAAGTAGCACGAGAAGTATGGTCATGTTTCTGAAGATGGCAGATAAGGCAGTACTGTTCGCAGGCTCCCTTCCACAACGATGGTTGTATTCTGGCAGTCCGCCGAAGGCCACTGGCGCTAGTCCGCCGAAGAGGGACAAGACCCTGAACGCCAGGATGCCCAGGACCACGCGTTTGGTCGTGACTTTGTCGTGGTAGTGTAGGGGGTGGCACACGAAGTAGTACAGGTCTACTGCCATCATGAGGTATGTGTAATACGTAGACATCCCAAATACGGGCGCTACCACTGCTTCAGCCGAGCAGTACGCTTGTCCTCCGCTGGCGTCTTGCCGGAAAAGTGCGTAGATACGGACGGGAATCAGGCAGCTGGTGAAGACGATGTCGTCTACCGCCAGGTTACACCGCAGGTAGTGGCTGGGCTTTTGGAGATACTCTTTCTTCCAAACCAGGAAGATGAGCAGCAGGCCGCATCCTACCGACAACACCAGGCTGATGATGAGATACGCCGTCTGCAGATCGCGAGATGTTGAGCCGATGGACAGAACGTGGTCCATGTCATCTTCTACCGGCGAACCGTCCGTGTCTTCTTCCATATTGACAGCTTTTTAAGCCGTCGCTTAGCCTGGAATGGTGTTCCTCCTGGTTATCTGAACAGAGAAACGAGGCCGCTGTGTACCCAACGTAGCATGTACTGGCAGTCAATCTATTCAGGCGCTAGAACGTATTACCTTATAGGGAGAAAATTGTTGTTGTCGGTAGCAACCTTTGTATACACTCTCTCCTGACGTCGAAGTTATTCAGTGGCCGATTTTTTACAGTAAGTTTTTAATAACTTCCTTCGTGTCTGACGCTGTCGGTGTCCTATATCATCAGATGACTCCGTGATTGAACAGTTGAACAGTTATTCAAGCCTGACTTACATAAACCGTGGTATGGCATCTCATAATAAAGCACAACTGAAAGATTTCAACGTAAAGGGTTCCAACAACAACAAAAACAGCAGTTATTACAAAATTATTGCAATTATTAGATGTTAGCCGATGAATACATGTCACAGCACATGATGAACGCTTCGCACTAAGTATTCCAAAACTATATAGCCAGTGATGCCCGACCAAAACTCATACGAATGTCCACCTGCTGAATACGTTGTATAAACCAGAAGTAGCGATATTACAAAACACCCTGCACCACTGAAGGTCTCTGAATAAGAGCCGCATAGTTCCCATTTTTAGAGTCTTTATTCAGTTTGTTACACACTACAAGTAGTACAACATTCAGACCAGCAAACTACTGTGTTTAAAAGGTTAAAATATCAGATTTATAGGCAGTTAATTGAGCAATTGACTACTTGGACTCGTGGACTCTAGATTATATACAACATATACAAAGGAATCCAAAATAGACTATAGAGTATAGTTGCCCATGTTAACTATCTGTCAATGTCAACATAAGTTATATGTGTCAACCTAAAAGGTGTCGCTTACTGTCGCTGATCTTGGTTACTTAACTTCACTATCATCATTAACATTACAAAATCATAGTATCAATAAACAATTCTGCTTAGAGGAAAGAGTCCGATTGGACATAGTTTAGTTACATTATTGCCTTTCATTGGGCTATGCCACCGGGTTATATAGTACACTCAGCCGTCCTCGTAAGGCAAAGGTACGAGGGTCCCTGCCAACGTAACTCCTTGGTTTTGTTTGCTTGTTTCATTCGTGCCGCCGCCTTCATAGGCACGCCATACTTCAGCTCACTACTTCTTTCTTCCAACGACGGGCCCGGCAGGTTTCTTGCCGCCTACAACCCCGGCTCCGCCGGCCTTCCTACCGCCCGCCCCGCCACCGGGTTTCTTCCCCCCAACAACGCCGGGGCCGCCCGCTTTCTTCCCCCGGCCTCCGGCGCCACCAGGACCGCCGGCTTTCTTGCCTCCTACGCCAGCCTTCTTTCCTGCCATTGGACCGCCAGCCTTCTTTCCCCCTATAGGAACGCCACCCTTCTTCCCGGCCAGCCCACCGGGCCCTCCGGGCTTCTTGCCTCCGGGAGGAACCGGCCCTGGCGGCTTCTTCTTCCCCCTGGCCTTGATGGCCAACACGGTGTACAGGACCGGGTTGAGGGCCGAGTTGATCGGGAGGATGATGACGGCGGTGAAGGCGAAGACTTCCCCGGGCAGAGCGACACCAGTGAGGGCCATGATGCCCATGAGGGTGACGGGAAACCAGCAGAAGAAGTCGGTCAGCACGATCATGGTCATGCGGGTGGTCATGGTCTGGGTCTGGCCGGCCTTCTGCTTTCCCGCGGCCTCTCCGGACGCCTTCCCGGCGCTGCGGACGGAGACGAACATGGCGATGTAGCTGCCCATGATGAGCACGAAGGCGATGAAGTTGAAGACCATGAAGATGGCCACGGAGTACTCGAACCCGGGCGGGCGCTCCGCGGTGATGTGGAGGGGCAGGCACACTCCGGAGCGGGCGTAGAACTCGTCCTGGAAGTAGGGGAGAGAGAGAGAGAGAGAGAGAGAGAGAGAGAGAGAGAGAGATAGAAAATGGTTTATTCAATATAAAAAACGTAACCTTTGCAGCACCAGTGCTAAATTGCGGTTTCTGTACACAAACACGTCCTTCAAATATTATCAGGACTTAAGCATTACACATTACAAATAATAATTAAAAGAAGTCGTAAATCTTGGAAAATCACTACTATGACGACTGAAAATTCTGTTATAACATTAATTAACATCAACTGTCGTTCAGCAGGTGAACACAATAAGGTAGTGTACTGTTTAGCATACGCTGTGCCCGGCACTTAAACTGTGTCAGATTCGTGCTATTCCTGAGTGTTCTATTGTGGACCCCCCCTTTGTTATTTTTTTTAATATTTTTTTTATTATTTTTATTGTCCAAACAGTACCCGTGCAGTTGCAGCCTTTGACGGCTGAATTGATGCAGGGTATCACATAATAATCCATACAAATCACAACAAACAAGTAATACACATGATAACACATTATATTTTCTCCACAATTTTTGTGGAACTGTCGCAAGGGTCTGTGCGGCTGCCATTCGGCGCCACAAGGTGACCTCAATACGGCTTTCCCCAACCGAAGTTAGGTACCCATTCACACCTGGGTGGAGTGAGGAAAGTCGTGTAAAGTGCCTTTCCCAAGGGCACAACGTCGGGGCGCATGTTCAGACATGTCCCGGGTATGACTCGGGTTCGAACCCGGGTCTCCCGGTTCACAGTCGAATGATCTACCACTACGCCACCCGACGCCACAGTTATGGCGTTATGGGAGCCAAGCGCGGTATTTACCTGGAAGTACGGCACGTCCATGAGAGGGAACACTCCAAGGAAGGCCACGATGCCCCAGATCGCGATCATCATCGTCATGGCCTGCTTCACGCTGATCTTCCACTCCGTCTTGAAGGGGAACACGACGGAGATGAAGCGGTCCACGGTGATCAGGACCAGGGAGCAGACCGACACCTGGTTGTCACAGAAGAAGAACTTTATTGCGCAACAGATGTAGCGGGTACAACGTATGGCAGAATGATACATACATAGTTTGTGGCGTTAACATACACATATGGTGGTGTTGAGAATATCTAACAGTTCTACTAACTGTAATAGGAATCTGGTCTGCTTCATAAACAATGTATAACAAAAGAGAGACACTAATTATACTAATCTAACTCTATTAATACAATGTAGTAATAAATTGTGTCAGGAATTAATTACGTTTTCTCGTTTTGTCATTGAATTGTGTACAAATTGGCCTACACAAGTGGAAATGTTGACAGGGCATGATAGTAACATATAGAATATCTCTGTCTTTGTATGGGGTAGTGTTATATTGGTCTGACATGTAATATGTTGTAACAATTTTCGTTGGTTTTCATCATAGGTTGGGCAATCTATTATCACAGAAAGGAGGTTTTTCACTACCCAAGCCCAAAACTAAAGCCTTACCCAGGACTTTTCTATACAGGAGTACAAAAAGTCATAACACACTACCAAACAACAACATGATCATATATAGCAAACCAACCAACATTTAAGATCACAATAAATGACTGTATGGACACACACAGTCACACAGGGACAAGGGTGCTTGCGGCAACAGGGTTTTGTTGTGGGCGAGTAACAACTGACTTATTATTATTATTTTATCTTATCTTATGTTGCTGGACTCCAGGAAGAATAGTATGTAATTTACCATACTAATGGATAGCCTCCTTCGCAGACTTGTTGGGCGTCGGCGTTATTTTTTCTGTGAGCGGCGCGAGTTATGCCGCGGAGGGACGATTTTACCGCCGAGGGAGTTTTTGCCACGGAGAGAAGGTTTCCCGGAGATCTCAATGAACAAACAAACAAACAAACAAACAAACAAACAAACAAACAAACAAACAAACCTCGCTGGACACGACGAAGACGAAGCCTGCGAACTCGCAGAGCCGGCTGGTGCGCCACTTCTCGTCGTTCCAGATGTAGACGTTGCGGTAGTACTCGTCAACGGACGCCACGATCATCTGGTACACGCCCATCAGCAGGTCAGCCACTCCGAGGTTCAGCACCAGGATGTTCTGCACGCGGCTCTTTCCCAGGGACTGGTCGAACTCGGCTATAGATAGATAAATATAGATACAATATCATGAAAGTTAATCTGTGTTGGTAGTTACATGTTTAACTGAACACGACTATTTCCTGAGCGGGGTGAAGAAGGCTATTTACATCAGGGCCCGCCACCCTTCACTTAACCGCGACGGGGGCCGACATCGTCTACCAGATACCTTTGACCCAGTGTTGACGTCACACTTAGTTCAAGCCTTCAACACACCTATTGGTGGGGTCGTGTGGCGTAGCGGCAGAGTGCTCGACTCGGAATCAAGAGGTCCCGGGTTCGAGTCCTGACATGCCACCGATCTTGTGCCCTTGGGAAAGGCACTTTACACGACTTTCCTCACTTCACTCAGGTGAAAATGAGTACTGTATTGTCCCCTGTGTTGCTGGCGGCATTAATATAAGTTGAAAATACTTGTGCCGTCACCACGTCTTGTGATTACATGTTGGAAATAAAAAAAAACACACCTATGATCCTCCGGATGATGACATAGCCGTTGCCGAGGATGGCGAAGCTGGCGAAGACCCACATGACCACGCGCAGCCCCTGTCGGGCGATCAGGTCCTCGCAGGACGACAGCTCGTTGGGCTGAGGGCTGAACGTGTCGAGGTGCTTGGTCTGCGTCAGAGCCACGCAGATGAACAAGTAGCTATCGGTGTGCCTAGAATGAATGCAAGACAGAGTATATGAAGTCAAATGAATGTTTTTTTATTAGATGCTAACCTGACAATGTTGGCTGCCTATATCAAAGAAGAAGAACCTGTTTTAAGCCTAAACAACAGCTGAAAGAAGATAGGGAAAAATGTAACATGTTGGTTTTTCAGTTGGACAAACTCGACGAACTGCTTCTCAACTATAGCTTAAATAATATTCTTATAGAAAGGCAAACATTTTTTTTTACAAACAGGTTTTACTTCACAGAGACATTTGGACACATTGATTTTATAACATATAAATTAACTAAAGCTCATACATAGAGGCTGATACGAATGAGTGAATTTCAAAAGAAGAAAGGAGGTAGATATATGCCAGTGATGAACGTGGCACTTACAACTCACTGAGCTCCGTCAGGCCGTCAAACATGCCCGGACCAAAGTTGGTGATCTGGTTGTCCTGGAGACGCCTAGAAAAAGAGACGGCACAATCTGGATATTGGTCATTGGTGCTATGTGTTTTGAGTCTCATTTTAGTTCCCAATATGTATCTGTCATTTGATATATATATTAAGTTAGTCTTTGTTTCAGGCCACTATACGAAAGAGGAAAGAGGAACAATGACAAATGTACAAATACACGTAGTACATAAATTACAAAGGTTTAAAAAGTGTGGCCAGTACAGGATTCGAGTAAACACATCTGAGTGGAAATAATATATCAATGGGATGAAAGTCGATTAGAATGGTATAGAGATATTTTTGATCCCATACATCTATCCCCCAAAACATCCAAATCCAAAAAGATAAATTCAACTTACAAGTTGACGAGCTTCGAAGTTGCGGTTGGATCTGAAGGGTTCGGTGCGAGCATGAAAGCGCCGTTGTCCACACTGAGGATCTTGTTGCTACTGAGGTCTCTACAGAAAGAAAATGAGTTTGAACCATTAAAAACCTTGTCATAGCAAACAGCAACGCAATTGATATTTCAATTCGTACTATAATGTACCATGGACAATAATATCAACAATTTCCATATAGTTTTATGTGAAATATTGGGTTATGACTTATTTACAGTCGGATTATGAATGTCGTCTCATAATATATTGTGCCAGTCACTGTTATCAGTATATCAGCTGTAGCAACTAGATTGGAGACGTAAAAATCGGTAAAACAGATAAATAAACCACAAAACCACGGGTTACTCACAGGAACTCCAACCTTCGGAGGTACTTGAAAGGCTGTCCCTCGAGAGAAGTAATCTCATTGAAGCTCAGATCACTGTGGAAAAGAAAGAAAGGAAATAAGCATCACTTTACTTTTACTTTATCTACAACATGTATTTTATTAAGATACGAGGACTGCCAGGATTATCATTCTATAAAACCTTTGCATTTTAATTCTCCTTCAGATCGTCTTTTTTAAGTCGTTCGGTGTGATATAGCTAGCTGCCGCCGCGCCGCGTGCCTGCGAAGCTGGTATGCTACGCCGAAGGGCGGTTATACCGGCTATACCGATACAGATACTATTTGAGGTTTTCTGAAAAATTGACTTCGACTATTCCCTTAATTCTATGACGTTATGTTGTCGGGGTTTAAAGCATAACTCACAGGTAATACAAGTTAGCCAGAACCTCCAGAGTGCTGTTGCCGATGTAGTGCAAGCTTGTGTTCCTCAAAATGCTGGAAAAAACGAGGGACAAATTACGTGCATACAGACACTGTTCTGTTTATTCTTATCATACAATGGTGAAAAGCCTCTGCTACATAATGTAATACAACACCACAGCGCCAGTTACCATGGTGACAGACGCCTGGTCCGGGTCATTGACCTTACGTGTTTGGAGAAAATGAAGAAACAGAGCACAAACAATGCGTTTACTTCGAATTCTGTGATTGTAAATATAGAAGTTTTTATTGCAAATTCGTGCCCGGAGGCTAATTGCAAATCATAAACATACAACAGTATTGAAACAGATTATATTATTATACAATAGTATCTACATGATGAAAAGTAGTTGACTAAAACTATAGCTATGTCTGAAGGGTTTGACTTCTCTTTTGTAAACAATGGAAGACGTAATGTCCCACCTTTTCTAAAATTTGTGGGTTTTGGGAAGTTAACAGAAGAATAGTTTGTAAATATACGTAAAGGCTTACAGTTCGCCCATCAGCTTGAAGTTGGAGAGGTCGAGCAGGGTCTCGTTCTGCAGCGCCGTCCCGTTACCGTCCAGCCTGACCGCCTGTTGGATCTCCAGCAGACGGGCGTTACTCGCGTCACTGTGTAAGAATTAGGAGAGTAGAAAAAGAAAGACACACCTGGCCGGGGATTGAACCCACGCCAAACCCGGGCGCCAGCTCATAACCCCAAGCTTCTAACCATTCGGCTAAAAGGTCTAGAACCGTCAGACGGATCAGTTGGTAGCGCCTATAAACCCCCACTGTTACACACCATTGGTCAGGACACTTTATCAAATCATCTAGACAACCAATCAACTACCTTGGAAAGTTTTAAAGGAATCATAACAATACTCCATTGGCCAAGACACACAATCAAATTACCTAGACAGCCAATCAACTACCTGGGAAGAATATATAAAGGAATAACAATAACATACCATTGGTCAAGACACTTTAGTGCTGTTTACAAAGTAAACTTTACCCAACTTTACTGGTATTTACTACCATTGGTAAATAAATCCAACCTTTTCTGAACTGTCTTGAATTGACTAGATCATCAACTAGCTACCTGGGATAAATCTAAAGGAAGATGGGTATTTAGGGAATGTATTATAATATACCACTCACAGTTTGCGGAGTAGCTTGGACAGTTTATCCAGCGTCACGTCAAACTTGTTGTTTTGACAGAAGAAAGACAGCCCCTCACAGTTGCATCCAGTAGGGCACTCGATACCTGGTAAGGAAGTCACATAGAATTTTCAAGCTGATTGTGAGAACTTGCGACAAAAGCAACATGCAATAAGGATCTAAGTCAGTCTTTTCCACACAGGCCACCTGCAGGTGCAATGGCCAAGTGGGTAGAGTGTTCGCCTTGCACTCGGGAGGTCGTGAGTTCGATCCCCAACCGAGTCATACCAAAGACTTTCAAATGGTACATACTGCTTTCTCTGCTAAGGACTCGACATTTGGGAAAGAGTATGGGAGTTGAACTCACACCACTACCAGTTGACTAGCCCCCTGCTGTAGTCTTTGCACGATTGTGTGACCCAAGGGCTACTGAACCGGAGATGGGCGCCGCCCTATGCACCACGTGGGGCGAGGACTTTTTTAAACAGCTGTGGGACTCATGCAAGACTATCTTTGAATGTCCTCAGTTTGCGATCGTACAACAAGCGTACAACAACCGTACAACAGCCGTACAACGATCGTACAGCGACCGTACAACAATCGTACAACGATCGTACAGCGACCGTACAACAATCGTACAACGATCGTACAGCGACCGTACAACAATCGTACAGCGATCGTACTACAATCGTACAGCGATCGTGCAACAATCGTACGACGGTCGCACGTGTAAGACCTCTTACCGCAGTTGAACTCGTCGTCTCCCCGCGGACACTGCCTGGTGCCGTCACAGCGGTTCTCCATCGGCGTGCAGCTGCCGAACCCGTTACACCGGTGGGCGCCCGGGCACGTGTAACTTTCTGGGACACCAAAGTAAGAAGTTAAAAAGTATCAACGCAAAGTCATGTAGGGTGACGTACAACAGCTACCGCATAGCCTACAACAAAAAGCCTTTGTTTATTTATCTATTTATTTATTTAATTCATTCATTATTCATTCAATCTTTTATTCATTCTTCCATTGCTTATTCCTTTCCTTTACTCTCGTTCATTCATTGCCTGGCTTGTTTTCTCCCTTCTTTTTAAATCTATCCCTTGTTCCTCCCCTTCTTCCTCCCTCTTTCATTACTTATCCCTCATTCATTAATTGTTGCCCCATCCCTTGTTCCTCTCTTCTTTCTCCTTTCAATCATAATTGATTCACTTTTCTGTCATTTTCTTTCTTTCCTTCTTTCGTTTTTAAGTAACTAATTGATTAAATAATTCTCTCATTCCCTCTCACCGCAGTTTTCCTCATCCTCGCCAGTGGAACAGTCCATCTTCCCGTCACAGCGCAAGTGCTGTGGGATGCAGTATCCCAGGTTGCACTGCAGGTGGTTTATCGGACACACAAACTCTTTCGCTGCACAACAAAAGAAAAGAAATTTTGTAGTCACCATCTTTGACAAAGCCTCAGCAATACCAGGCGTTACTTATTATGAGTCAACTAGAACGTACGACAGAACGTTTTGTGCCTGCGTGAAACCCGCAATGTATTGTGCACGTCCTGTCTATAGTTTTCTAATGTTTATGTCGGAAGTAGAGTGGTTTATGTCTCAAGGGTCAACTATCGTATAGTCTTTACTATTTTTGTTTGGTTGTCCTTCCATCAAAATGAAAAAAAAAGAAGATATTTCAGAACTTCCAGTGCAAAAGCTAAAAAGGTGGCATGGTGGCTTGTCCACCTGTTCCACCATACCTTCCATGTATGTGGAAAACTGTAATATATAAATAAATAATTAAAATTCTTGAAGTAGGCTCGCCCCTGTGGCGTCGCCAAGAAAGTCCGCGTATATTAAATACTAGTATATAATTTTCCTTGAAAAAGCAGAACGACTCATTTCAACAAGGAAAGGGAAGATTGAAAACCACAGAGGGAAATGGGGATTTCTCTGTACATAATTGATATATTATCATTTTACTCATGATTGTTATTTTCTATTGGTTTCACTTTACTTTCACTTGGATGGTTTCACTTTATCCTTATTTGTTTATATTATGTGTATTTTGTGAATAAAAAAAGTCCGCGTTTGACTCACAGCAGGGCCTGAGGTGTGTGAGGTCCCGACACCCCACCATGATCCCCTCGTCGTTCTGGTTGAAGATGCAGGTCTCGTTCTTGCGCGCACACACCCCGTTCTTACACCGGATCTGTCCCGCGTCCGGGCAGCTGAAGTTAGGGCTTTTGTAATCTGTATGGGACAAGTTGGAGACAGGTATGCTCGACAGCTACCGAATCGTACACAGCCAGCTACGACCAGAGGGCGGAGGCAAGCAGAGCAAGAAGACACATGCCGGCTCAGCAGCAGGGACAGCACATCTGCGAGATATGCGGCCGCGTCTTAGCAGCTAGAATCGGCCTAATCAGCCATCGAAGAACACATCGAGTGAGAGAGACAGAGAGTCAACAATGAGGGACGTCATCTTCGAAACCGAAGGACCGCCTTAAGCAAGTAAGCAAATGGGGCAAATAAAGCACATCAGTTGACGAATATAGTCGCCTGGGTGCCAGACTGTTGCCAGGAGTAACATAGTGATACAGGCTCCTCGGTTCCGAAAATTTTACCCTCTTTGATGACAATTAGGTGCTAACCGCTCCATACTTCTCGGAAAGAGTAGAGATTTGTCTCAGTGAGTGTCTCAAACCTTCCACTCTGGCCTTACACAGCTTGTACCTGTACCTACATGTAAAGCATTTTATTGGCTATGCAAATAAACAAACATAACAGTTTTTTTATATTCCGAAACATGTAATCACAAGACGTGGTGACGGCACACTCAAGTTTTTTCAACTTATATTAATGCCGTCACCAACATAGGGGACAGTAAAATACTAATTTACACCTGAGCGAAGTGAGGAAAGTCGTGCAAAGTGTCTTTCCCAAGGGCACAAGATCGATGGCATGTCAGGACTCGAACCCGGGGCCTCTGGTTCCGAGTCGAGAACGCTGCCGCTACGCCACACGACCCCACAAACATAACATGCCGCTACGCCACACGACCCTTAAACATAACAGTTATTTTTGGTAGTACTTATGTTCAATTTCTGTGGAAGAAACTGCAATAGGGAGGCTTTATTTATCTATGCATTTATGTATTTATTATGGAAAATGAATCAAACAAACAAACAAAAATCGGTACCACAGTTGACGGGTTCGTCCTCGCCGATGTAGCCCATGCAGTCTATCTGTCCGTCGCAGTACCGCTCGATATTCAGACACGACCCATCAAAACACTGGAAACCCTCCGGGCAGAAGTCTATCGGGAAAAAAGAGGAAAAGAATTGTGTTAAACGTTACGTAACCATATACATTGTGCTGTGGGTCTTCAAGTGAATGATTTACTGGCCAAGATCTGTCTTTTGAAAGGGACGATCTCATCTGGAAATTGTGTTAAGGGATGCCTGCCCATTGCAAATGTCCAAAGGGGGACGACCGATGCTCCATATGCAACATCACACCTCTAACATTTCACTGCAGTTGACCTTATATTTTTAGATCAATGCTGCCGCTGACCCCCACCCCAGGTATGCATACAAATTTTCAGATGAAATTCTTTAGAGGCATACATTTTTTGTACCCGACGGTAACATGCTACCAACATGTGTCGGGCATTTGATATATCATTTTGGATCTGAAAAACGAATGATGTATAGCTGCAGGTCTGACAGGAGAGGACAAGAAACGTTAATTCTCTGTCTTACCGCAGCGGAGCTCGTCCGACCCGTCCGAACACTGGTGAATGCCGTCACAGACCTGCGACTTCAGCACGCACTGTTCAGACCCGCACCTCTTCTCATGGTCTTTACACGGTGGGTAGACTGTAGGGAAGACGTAATGAAACAATATAGCATGCTAAAGAAAACGGTTACCCAACCAACTGGCTAGAATGTGAAAACTGTAAGTAGCGTCCACTGCCTTTCGTCAGTCACTGGCGAAAAACGTAGTGGATGTTGCCTGAAACGTCTGAAAATTTCCAAACATATCCAATTACTTGAGTATCGATTGTGTAATTTATTACCTGTATGTCTAACCTTAATCGACGTAGTTTGAACATTGTTATCTTTAACTTTACAACGTAAAATTGGATCACATCAAAATGTAAAAGTCAACCTACCACAGTGCAGTTCATCCCTGCGGTTGCTACACTGCAGGGTGAAGTCACAGAAGAAGGACAGGGACACACACTCCGTCTCCCCGCGGGAATCACACTCGAAACTGAACGGAGCACAGCCTTTTGAAGCTGCAGATGGAAAAAACAACAACAAAAGAAAATCGGTATCTTAGGTGTGTTGAAGCACATTGAGCCACATACACATTTCAGCTTCTTTTCACTTGTTCCGTAGAAAGCGCACATCTGTATTTCAGTACCAAGGACAGAGCAAAAGCTTGAGAATAGCCTAGTCGTTTGTCTTGTTCAAAAGTAAAAAGCTGACTTTGTACGGCTTTAGGGGTACTGTATGTTTCCCACCCACACAGCTGTACTTCAGTACCAAGGACAGGGCAAAGGGTTGAAACTAGCCTATAGTAATTTCGAAGCATATCTTCCCTATATAGCCTTGTCTTGTTTGGAAGGAAACGGAAACTGTCTTTGTACGGCTTTGGGGGTACTGTACCAATAGGTGGTGTTTTGTTTGCTTTG